CATCAAGAGCGCAGGGCTCACACTCAAGCCAACGAAGTGTCGCTTCGCGTACGCCGAACTTAAGTTCCTTGGTCATGTCGTTAGTAGCGAAGGATTACGCCCTGACCCCGCGAAGACATCCGCCGTAGCCGAATTCCCTCGACCGTCGGACAAGAAGGCCATCCGCAGATTCCTGGGGCTGTGCGCGTACTAAAGGCGCTTCGTTCAAGATTTCGCAAAAATTTCGGCGCCCCTCACACATTTTACGAAAGACGCCGTGAAGTTTCACTGGGCAGCAGAACAAGAACGGGCGTTCGACGAACTGAAACGAAGACTTCACACACCTCCGATCCTCGGACATTTCGACCAGTACGCCGAAACTGAAATTCACACGGAAGCAAGTAATTCCGGACTTGGTGCGGTATTGGTACAGCTACAGGAAGGCACGGAGCGAGTCATTGCCTACGCGAGTAGGACACTGTCAAAGGCGGAGAAAAATTACTCCACGACGGAAAAAGAATGTACAAAGTTTCGTCCGTACATATACAGGAACCCGTTCCGGGTGGTCACAGACCATCACTCGCTCTGTTGGCTTGCAAACCTCAAAGACCCTTCAGGACGCCTGGCTCGATGGAGTCTTCGACGGCAAGAATTCGACATGACCGTGGTCATGTCGAATTCAGGACGGAAACATAGTGACGCCGACTGCTTGTCCAGAGCCTCCGTCGAAACGTCAAGCTGTACCGACGTGGATGACGACGAGTGTTTCCTCGGTGCCGTGAACACCAACGACATGGCAGGACTTCAACGAGACGATTCGGAGCTCCGCGCCCTGATTGAGCATCTAGAAGGACGAGGAAGTACTGTTCCTCGTGTCTTTTCACAAGCCCTGCCGACCTTCGCTATTCGAAGAGGTGTATTTTACAAGAAAAATTTTGGAACCAATAATTCGCCGTGGCTTCTGGTAGTCCCTACCAGCCTTCGAGAAGAGATTTTTCAAGCCTGCCACGAAGACCCGACTTCGGGACACCTCGGTTACAGCCGAACTTTAGCCCGAATAAGTAAAAAATACTACTGGCCCAAGCTGCCGAAGACCGTCCATCTCTACACGCGATCGTGCCATGAGTGCCAGCGACGCAAGAAACCGCCGTCGAAGCCAGCAGGTCGCCTTCAGCCGATTCCCCCTCCAACCAAACCGTTCCAGCAAATTGGAATGGATTCGCTGGGCCCTTTTCCATCGTCGACGCTGGGAAACCGCTGGATAATCGTCGGCACAGATTATCTTACACGTTACGCCGAGACGAAAGCCCTTCCATCGGGGACTGCTGTTGAAGTCGCAAAGTTCTTCGTCGAGTCTATCGTCCTCCGGCATGGCGCCCCCGAAGTCCTGATCACAGACCGAGGGTCATCGTTCATGGCGCAGTCGACCCAGGAGATCCTTCGTCTAAGCCAGACGGACCACCGTCGGACCACCGTCGGACAACTGCATACCATCCGCAGACAAACGGGTTGACGGAGCGGCTCAACAAGACCATCGCCGACATGATCTCTAGGTACGTCGACGTGGAGCACAAGACATGGGACGAGGTATTGCCGTACGTCACATTTGCCTACAATACGGCCGTACAAGAGACCACAAGAGTGACGCCGTTCCAGCTGGTGTATGGCCGGAAGGTAACGACCATGCTGGACGCGATGCTGCCCCATGAGGCAGCTGACAATGAGAGTGACGACGCCCAGGTGGTTGCTCAACGGGCCGAAAAAGTCCGCCAGCTCCCCCGACTCCTGATTCAGGACCAGCAACGTGTCGACGCGGGCCGCTACAACCTCCGTCGCAGGGATGTCCACTTCCAGCCCGGAGACAGGGTGTGGGTGTGGACGCCCGTCCGTCGCCGCGGCCTCAGTGAGAAACTTTTTAAACGGTACTTTGGGCCATACAAGGTACTCCGTCGCCTCGAGGAGCTGAACTACGAGGTGATGCCCGACGGAACAAGAACATCATCACGCCGCCCAGCACGGCCTGAAGTCGTCCACGTCGTGCGCCTGAAGCCGTACTACGCTCGATAGGACTGTGGACCTTATGTGTTTCACATGACTCTTTAGTTTTCCATTCTTTTTATGTGCTTTGTTTAGTTTTGTGTTGCACCGGGACGATGCAGTTTTAAGGGGGGAATAATGCCGCGCGCCATGTGGGCAGCGCGGTCGTGGCCTAACGGTTATCGCGCTAGCCTTCCACGTGAAGGGCCAGGGTTCGATTCCTGGCCGCAGCAACACGATTTTTGTTGACACTGTAATGTGATGTTCTGGCGAATTCGAGAACCGCCTTGCTGATTCGAGGTTAGAATGTTCTACGCGCCGAACCTTCTACGCCGAACGATCCAGAAGCCTACGAGGGTACATAAGGGATTCCGCAAGGCGAGCGCAGTCACTTGCGCCTCAGTGTTCGATCGTGCTGCTTCGCCACCTTCGACGCCCGCGACGCTCTGTTGTTATCTTTCTTTCTTCTTTTATTTTTGGGCACAAGTTCGCCCCATTAAACGTTCAGTTTACTCAGTCCTTCGCCGCCTCGTCACTTGTCATCCGTGACAATATTTTGTAATGAGCCATTGAAAAGGGGGGGGGGGAGGGTTTAATTGACACGCATCCCAGTGATACGACCGCCGTCCCCCAGTGCACGGCGCCGAGATTGGCAAAAGGGGAGCTCACCGGCGACCTTAGGTTTCTAGGTGTTACATCAGAGTGTTACATGAGTCTGTGGCGCCATCCCGTGGCGACACGGCGAACTTTGAATGCATGTTCTCCAACCAGTCCAAGGTCAACACATTTTCCGGGGCACCAAAAAGAAGCACCTGTTTCGGGCAATCTACAGCACCACTTCGCAGACGACACCATGCGGGGTTGGCTACTTCTATAAGGTGCCGATAGATGGCGTAATGTGAGCATCAGTGTTTGATATAACGCAGCTGCTTGACATAAGCACCAAGGAGGCTACAGAGGCTGGTTTGAAATTCAAGACCAACAAGTCAGCAGCTGGTCTGCAGGACCACACGAGGCAACACGGCATTCTTGGACTCGGTGTGAACAGTGTCCCAATACATAACTCGTACAAGTACTTGGGCATCACGCCGTCAAACGCCGAAGACTATTTGCGAATGCAACACACATACCTCCTCCAAGTAGCCATCCGAGGACCTAACATCATCTGAAAACGCAACCTGTGGCGTTGCAATAGGTTTACTGTATTGAGAGAACTGTGGAAGACGGAATTAGTACCAGGACTGACATTCGTCAATGAATTGCCGCATAGTCTAATGCATACGAGCCAAGTATACTGCACTACTCCTCGTAAAGTATTTGGCTTTACTGTCCCAGCGATAGGAGACAGGGTGACGATGTAAAAACTCTTTCAAAAATGGAAGATTCATGAAATGAATCTTCTATCTTTGTATCAATGACACTAGCACGTCATTTACCAAACACGTTTACTAAATATACAGGGTGTTTTCTTTTTATTCTTACACATTTGATTAAAAAAAACGTGAAAGCTACACTAATGCGGTTTATGCAGTTGGGTTATACGGCCAGGCGGACATTACGTGGGCGGCTGATCTTTGCAATAACTCGGTTAATTAATTAAATTTCGTTAATTAACTTTTTAATTACTGAAAATAAACATATGGTTTAAATTAGAAACTTGCTGAGCATTATCAAAAACCCCTAAATCAACTATTTTTAGCAGGATATAACGCCGGTGCAGCATTTTACGGCGTTCTGTAAAAACGCTTCATTTGGATGCGTTTCTAGATTTCGGTTTCTTATCGGAGCGCATCTACGCGCCCGCGATCCTGCTCCCCGGTGGTCGCGGCGCGAAGCCACCTCTTCGCCTTCCTCATAGAATGGAGGAAAGTAGGGCGCACCTGTGTTGCGCGTCTCAGCCACTGGGGAGCAGGACCCCGGGCGTGGTGATGCGCTCCGATAAGAAACCGAAATCTAGAAACGCGTCCAAATGGAACGCTTTTACAGAACGCCGTAAAATGCTTCCCCGGCGTTATATCCTTCCAGAAACAGATCATTTAGTGGTTTTCGATGATGCTCTACAAGTTTCTAATTGAAACTATTTGTCTATTTCCACTAATTAAAAAGTTAATTAACGAATTTTAATTAATTAGCCATCTTATCGCAAAGATTAGCCACCCACATAATGTCCGCCTGGTCGTATAACCCACCTGCACAAACTGCATTAGTGTAGCTTTCACGGATTTTTTTAAACAAATGTGTAAGAATAAAAAAAAAACACCCTGTATAGTAACATGTAAAGGATTCTAGAGAGCACAAGTATATAGCATAGTTATCTCATTTTTTAGTGGCATGATCGCTTGAGTATATAAACGCGATAGCGTTAAGGAGCTCGTGGCGCGCCGGCCGACCTCGGTGGTGTGACAAAAAAGGCGCGCCAGCCTCGGTGGCATGCAAGAAAATCGATAGCGTGCCATAAAAGGCGCACGGGCCTCAGTGGCGTGCAAGATAAGCCGGCGTGACTTGAATAACCCGATAGCGTTCAGGGGGGAGGGGGGGGGGGGGGGGGGGAGCTCGTGTCGCGGCGGCCGCGGTGCCGTGCCAAAAAAGCCCGCATGACGCAAATATCCTCAATCAGTCGTTAGGGTCATGACGTCAGAACCACATGACCTACGCTTGTCTGTCTGGAGGAGCGTAGAGTTTACATCTGTCGCGGAGGAGCAGTGCGGGGCGCACTTTTGAGTCGTCGTCTTCTGCGAGTGGGGATGCCGCATCCACGTCTGCTCCAACTCGTCGACGGGGTCGACCACGAAAGACTGAAATCTAGAAGCCGGAGACGAAGGCTGGGCGTGCAAAGGTGATGCGCCACAAGCGGGTAGAGAATTCGATAGCGCTATCGGGTTCCACTCTTAAACGCGAAGCTTAAGCGCCCTCCGACTTTTGATTACACGTTTCACCGCAAGAAAGGTAATGGGCGATGTTTATTTCATTTCAGTTCAGAACAATCAAGCACAATTGTCAGGGTAATCAATTTGGTGTGGTTGTCCTGGACAGATCTGGCTGTAGGCATTTGAGCATTCTCTTGGAACAGGTCCGCGCCTCTTCTCGGGGGCCACCCAGAGGCTACACACTGCAAACATGTAAAATGTACGCAGATTTTAGCATAGAGCGGGTTTATACAGTTATTTTCATCAAATACTCGGTTGTATATTCGCTGTTATACTCCGTACGCAGCACGGTGAAACACACCGGCGAAAATCAGACAGTTCGGTGTTTCAAAGGAGCTGTGCAACAATTTCAGGGCTTTGCTTAAATAATTGTGGAAGTTGATGCCTGACACTTCTGCAGTGAACTACAGAAAACAGATTTTGCCTGGATACCCTAGTTTTTATTTAAAAAAATGAAAAAGATCCAGGTTTTTGCCGCCTCTCAACTCGTGCATCGTCTTCCGGGTCACGTGCACAGTGACGTTACTTGAGTAGGCGCGGAGTTCCGGAAAAGTTCTCTCTTTAGAGCCATCAGCGAGCAGCGAGAACTCATCCGCTCGCGACCGCGTGACCACCCGTCCTTTCCCGTCCGGCGCTGTCCCCCTAACGCCTCCGGCTTCTGATGGCTGTTCGCGGTTTTGTGGACCTAGGATAGAGGGCGCCACTAAAACTCCGTATAATAAAAGTTTTTTCGATGATACCAGGGTTTTGACGCATTTATATATATGTTGGAACGACAAGATTTATAAAAAAGTTACCTTTTATCGAGCAGGTATTCGCACAACTTGCTGTCTTTCTTACAATTACCCAAGTGACGTCACGCCGCTTGTTTCTCATGGCCGCCGCTCGTGGCTGCAGGTCGGGAAATATTCCAAGTTTTGCCTCGCTATTACGCGGCGGAATCGCAACATTTCGATGAAAGGGAGTTGTGTTTTCTGCCATTTGTGACACAGTGAACAATATCAAAAGCAGCAAATGCCAATTATTTCAACGTTAAAATCGTTGCACAGCTCCTTTAACGTAGCCGACGCCTCGAGCGTCATTCCGGCTTTACTGGCGTCGCTGGCGCGAAATCGGTTTTTAGACCACTTCGCTGTCCTCGCGCCTGCTGTTGGCCGAAGCCAGTCTTGTACACGTTACTGAAGAAAATAAATCTATTACAATTTCAATTACTTCTGCTTAAAAAGTATTAAATTAGATTACTTGATAAAAAAGCAATTGGCCGTTTGTTGAAAAATTAATCGTGACTTTTCTGTTTGCTTCAAACTTTCCAAACGACTGATTTTTGTGCCGGTTTGACAACGGATCATTATGCGGTTCATCATTGAATTAAAATCGCAAACTATCGACTAGATATTTTCTTAATCCATAAAATTTGGTAAATTCTCCTCCTCTCAGAGACTTAGGTTGAGGATTCTTCGGTAGGGAAACTTGTACAAAGAGAGCCATTAGGAAGTAAGGGAAAAATAGCAACGGTTACAATTTTTTACCTCCAACAAAAGTCAGATTACTGTTGTTTTTACTTTCTCATAAATGCATTTATATAAATGCAAATTACAAAAAAAATAAGTGAGTACAAGTAATGACATTACTTGTACTCACTTATAAGTAATGTCATTACTTGCACTCATCTATAAGTAATGACATTACAAGTAATGTCATTACTTATAGATTGCGCTCGCGCTCGCCGGAGAGCAGCTGCAGGTGGAAAATGGCGGCGTAGTGTGAGATTATAGAAAGCCCGTGCTCCAGGTAACGTTCTGTTCATGCCGACCGGTGACAGAATTCGATTCCGCACTAAAAACACTCCAAAAGCTGTGCGGCCGGGAAGATCGCAAATCGTGGCGTGCTTTTTCTATGACCGTATTTATTTATTTATTTATTTATTTATACATACTGCTGGCCCGTGAGCCGTGGTAGGGAAGAACAACATAGAACAAAGCGATACAGGGGGGCTAAGCTCGCCTCCGGCGGGAATCTCTCCGATGCCACGTCACGAGGGAGGGGAGGAGCTTCTTTTGACTCCGCCCCGGCGAGTTTCCCACTCCCCCTCTCACATTTCCGACCCCCCCGGCGGCGGCGAGTTCCCCAGCGTAGCTCCGATTTTTCCCTACGCTCCGCAGTGAAGGGTTTTTATTTTATTTAAATCGGGGGATCGGTGGCCGGCTGGGCTAGCGCACGCCAGCTCGGAGCACGTCGACCGAAAGGTCCGTTGCAGAACCCAGGATGCTGGGTTCAATCCCCACCCCTGCCCGTTTCGATGTTGATGAGCATCGTACCGGCGTGCAGTCATGTAACACTACTGCGGGATGGACGTTAAAGACCCCAGGCTAGCGGTTGTACGGCACTGCATGGCTAAATTTCTCATCTACAGCTGGGAGAATCTTTCCCGTTGAGGCAGAACAAGTTTTAGGCAGTATCAACATACATACAGCCCAATTTTTTTATTTAAATCGTAAATGACAAATAAGAATAGGTAACAGCAGGGATGCTAATTATACAAACATTGCTTGGATGTGGGCTAGTTGATTGGACATTGTGATGGTTTGCTGCGCCACGTAGATGCAAGAAAAACGCTCTTGATAAAGATATAAACTAAAGCAGAGTATAGACGAAAAACAACATACAGGAATGGCGCAGACTAACAACTGTGTAATTTCTTTCTCATCTTTCTCCCCCCACACCGCCACACAGCCACAATATATATATATTTTTTTTTTCAGAATAGGGTGCACGTGGAGCGAAAGCTCGCGCTGCAGAACCCAGGATCGTGGATTCACCCCCACCCCTGCCCTTTTCGATGTTGATGAGCATCGTACCGGCATGCGGTCGTGTATCACTACTACGTGGTGCACGTTAAAGACCCTAGGCTAGCAGTCATACTGCACTGGCTAAATTGCTTATCTACAGTAGGTGACAATTGCGTAATGTTCTGGCATGTTCTCCTGCTGTATAAACAACTAACGCCCAATTTGTTTGTCAAAATACGGTGTGGAAGAAGAAAGATGAGAAAGAAATTACACAGTTGTTAGTCTGCGCCATTCATGTATATTGCTTTTCTTCTATCATCTGTTTTAGTTTGAATTTTATCAAGTGCGTTTATCTTGCATCTACGCAGCACAGCAACCCATCAAAATAATTGTAAAAGCCTGTAGGTAATGGTAAATTGCGTTCCTGGTTGCAGATTGCCGTAAAAACACATTTGTTTCTAGGATTCACTTTGTAGAATTTGGATTTAGGATTCACGACGGGGGCGACGGTTCATTCACGGCTCCATCGCCTCAAGCCCGGTTCGCCACGCAGTTCATCGCACAGCCACCTTACAACGTCTTTCGAGAGACGATAGTGTTGTTGAAAATGAACGTCGTCCATGTCAAACACATTGGCGTGGTTTAAATACCTATGCCGACGGCAAAACACGAACGAAAACGCTGCCATTTTGGACGCTTCTCCCTGATCTCGCGCCCAACTCGCCCAAACTCGCCTAGGTCGGAGCCGGCAAGCTTTTCCCATCCGCGGCGGCTTCTGCCACGTCACAATGACGTCACCGCATCTCGCCGCGAGTTCCGAATATGCAACTCTCCGACCGCCTCAAACCCTCCGTTTAACGTCACGATCTAGGGAGTGTCTGCGCGTGTCGTCATGCACGGCGCCGACCAATCGCGGCGGTCGGAGAGTTTGGCGGAGAACTCGCCTCGATCTCGCCGAGCCGAGCTTAGCCCCCCAGTTCATGCCTCTAATAAAAACTTTGAACAATACTACATTTGAACCCAGGGATCCTGGGTTCAACCCCATCCTTGCCCGTTTCGATCCGAATGAGCATCGTATTGGGGAGTGGTCGTGTTTTACTACAGCGTGGTGCACGTAAAAGTCCCCAGGATAGCTGCTGTAGACAGACACCAATTAAGGCTAGCTTCCGGTTTTATAAAAGTACATACAGCGCACCTATTTTCCTTATTATTTCTTATTAATAATGGGTTATAGTCTGAAAACATAGGATCATATTAGTAAACGATATTTTAAAATTGAATCTATGGTATGATTCTAATATTGTAGACATTTGGTATCAATGAATAACAATATTGGAATAGTGGTATGCCTATTTGGTTATCAATCTAAAAAAAAGAGAAAAACCTGGCGAATCATTGTGATAGAATACAAACATTGAAAATATTGTTGCATGGTTGGATAAAGCCTGGTTCAGACAGTTGCGTTCGACTGCGTTTGACTCCGTTGCGGCTGTGAGAAGCCAGGAAATCCCTGCTGCTCATATCGCGTGCCAAGATCAGTCCTTGGATTGGATTCCACGCTTCATACGAAGTGCGAATGTGCCGGTGACTCGCTTTCGGTTCTCGACGCAACGGAGTCAAACGTACTCAAACGCAAGTGTCTGAACCAGCCTTAACAGTATAGAACACGAAATAATTTTGGTTAGGAACAATGGAAGATGTAAGGACACCTGTGTCTTTTGTTTCGATAGACTTTTATGTTTAACAGTTCTTCGTTACTGGAAAATTTCCTCGTAACTGAGCCTGGGACGATTATCAGCCGGAGGGATTGTGGCAGTGCTCTGCCACGCTGGAGGAATATGTCCTGTTGTCCCGTTGGAGACAGAAGTAAAGCCCGTTTGCGGGAAACACGGGTCAGTTTGGCGAGACATGTCCCGCAGGCTCATTGCTCCCAACCTTCGTGCTCCGGTGTAACTTAATATGAATTCGTTCGCACCTTCAAGCGACGTTTTTCTGCAGCTTCGTCATCGGAGACACCGACCGAGATCGGAGAGTCATCTAGAGTATCTTCTCACCGCAAACAATAAATTTACTTAAGAACTAGTGTACCATTTTAGAGCACAATCTGAAACCCTGATATAATATTGCTTACAGGTATCGGTATGTGATTAGAAAAAGCACAGTGCCTACGTTGGTACGAATGCTACACTCTAAAAAAAAAAGGGGGTGTAGACGTTCCACCCCTTGTCACATATACGACACCCCAAAACTTCAGTTGGATGTACAGCGCACTGACGTTGAACTGACGCTACAAAATTTCACGAGCGGCTTGATAGCCGAGTTGTACAACTCATTAAAACAGTTAATGGAAGTGTGACTGAGTGCAAAAAAGTTATCGGGGCTTTCTAGGTTCAACTGCAAAACCTGTGTGTTTATTTCCTGTAGACTTTGATACGTACTTTAGCTGCTTAATACGTTATATCCTCACCGTCATCAACCCTCTCGCAAAAGGTTGGGCAGTCAGTTCAACGTCAGCGCGTTCTACATCCAACTAAAGTTGTGGGGTGTCGTATATGTGACAAGGGGTGTAACGCCTACACCCCCCTTTTTTTTAGAGTGTAGCTAAGCCTAAACCAGTATGTGACCCGTTATAAGAATATACACTAGAAAAACTATAGACTGAGAGTCGACTAAATATTATACATTGAACTAAGTCGGGAAAATAACATACATTATTTCACAACTTCCAAGGCATGAATCCACTATTAGCACACGTCACACAGAAACATGGGTCCTTCTTCGATTTTATACGCACTATAATTTTAGTCTCTACACTCAGAGAGCACAACTGTGTTGTGCTCTCCGAGCCCCAGCTTGACATTTGTGTAGTAATATTCTAATCAACAAATTTGCAACAATTTTTATGCGTAACCGGCGAAACTAATTTTGTATGTACATGCCTCTTTGCCGTAAAAGTAAAGAAAGTTTATGCGTCAAAACATACTTCCACCCGTTAACTCAACTAAAAAATGAAGATATTTGCCAGACCTAAAACGTTGATCTTCGTGGGTAGCATAGGATATTTTTTATACATCTGACATTACTGATGCAGCTGTCATATTCTTACTTGCAGGTGAGCAAATGTAAGATCCTTCCAAAAATAACGCCGAAGAAAAGAAAATGATTTAAAAATCTAAAAGATTATAGCAACCAAAAACTTAGTGTTTTTTGTTCATTTTATTTGTTCAGTACGTTTACGAACGGTATACTTTTTATAAGAGATAATATATATGTTGTAACGTAACTTTAACCTTTGGACTACAAAGAAAGACAATGAGTTCCCTGAAACACCTACTAAGGTCTCGCAATATTGAGCCCTTATAACTTATTTTTAGGTTTCAGGTAGATAACGTATATTACGTTGAAATATAATATTAGCTTACGCAACCAATTACTAATGTTTTCTTCAGTATACAATAGTCCTTGGTTGAGTGCGGACGGTGCCGAATATAGTTTTCTTGCGAATGTGGACTTCAAGGCATTATGGATTTGTTTACCGATTCAAGATAAAAAGTCATTATGAAAGGATAAAATAAGGGAAGGTAGTTAGTTACCTTTAGTCCCTCCTCCAAACGTTTGAACAAGCACTCGACAAGTTCTCCGGTCGGAGTACTCAAGCTTCTGATCGTACAGCTCTGCATTTAGAATTCCATTATATAATGATTAGTATGAGGCAAGAATTATTATAGCACATACATATTAGGGTTCAAGCACATAACTATTGTTCATTAATTTATCAAATGTTTTTTGTGCGGCACAGCAGCTCGTTTAAATGAATGCTCATTATTTAAAAGGCATTTATTTGTACTCGAGTTTGCTTACAATGTATTTTGCATCAAATAGATGAAAACATAATATTTTATAAGCTTGAAATGAACGAATTCAAAATACCGAGAAACCAATTTATAATTGCTTCGCAATAACAAAATAAACTTCAGTGAAGTTTGAAGCTGTATACTAAGATGACATATCTCACCCAGTAGGTCCCCCTTTGATTTTTAACACATTGCCATAAAGGGATGGGTTTATGAGAAAAGCAGCAGTTTCGCTCGATCGTTACGCTTATCCGACACAGAGGTCGCGGTAATCACTTTAGCTCTTGCTTTTCGGAACGTGACAGTATGCCTAATGATTTTGAATTCGAGGGTTTTGTTGACTCCTTAGTATACCACAGTGTAACCGAGGATGAGGTTATGTGCACGATACGAAAGCTCAAACCAAAACTTTCAACTGGCTGTGATGACATTCCTAATTTTATTATCAAAGGATGTGCTGAAATATTTATACCTATCCTGACACATATATTTAATCTGTCCTTACGGTAAGCGGTTTATCCTTCTCGGTGGAAGGTTTCAGTCGTAAGACCAGTCTTCAAGTCGGGAAATTCTTGTAATGTCAATATTTCCGCCCTGTGTCTCTTCTTTGTGCCTTCTAAAAAGTTTTTGAGATGGTGGTGTATGAACGCTTGTACTCATATTTTAAATAAGAAATTTCAACTTTGCAACACGAGTTCCTCAGGGGCAGATCAGTGGAGACGAACTTAGCTACTTTCCTCGGTCATAGTGGTGTGCAGTATGCAACTGTGGTCAGGTGGTCACAGTCTACTTTGAAATGACCAAGGTCTTTGATAAGGTTGACCACCAGATACTCTTGTTGAAATTAAAAGAATACGGACTATGCACTTTGTATTGCGCATGGTTTGAAAGTTACCTTTCAAATCGCCAAAATTATGCTAGATTTTTAATTTGTGTGTGGGAGACATTTGCATCTTTATCTGGCGTACCCCAAGGCTCTAACTTTGGACCACTCCTGCTTTTGATATCTGTTAACGATCTGCCATATTCCATCAGAAACTCGAAAGTGCTAATGTTCACCGATGACTTTAAACTTTTCCGTGTGGTTGACACTGTAAATGACTGTATTCAAATACAGAATTGCATCCGCTCCGTTGAACATTGGTGCTTAAAAAATAGGCTTCAACTGAATCCAAAAAAGACTGCAGTAATGTCCCTTACCAGGAAGAAGGGGAGCATAGTCTTAGACTACACTATATTTGAAGAGCAAGTGCTGCGGGTTGTCTATGTAAGGGATTTTGGTGTCGTTGTAGACTCGAGATTGGATTTTCGCCTCCACGTCTCTCGCATTGTTGGTCAAGGACTTCGCCAACTCGGTGTAATTTTGCGGCTGACAAAACAATTTTGTCGCTCTGAGTGTTGTTTATGTCTGTATTGTGCATTGGTTAGATCACGCCTCGAGTACGCGTCTGTTGTTTGCAACTCTGTTACGATGTTACATAGTAATCCTATTGAAAACGTTCAGCGTAAGTTTATAAGAATCTTATACGACCGATATATTGGCCGCCGCCGTTTCTACAATTACCATTCCCTGCTCACTGACCTCGGTCTAGTGCCTCTGCACGATAGATGAATTGCAAGAGACATGCATTTCCTTCGTCGGATTGTGCATGGTTCTCTTGATTATGCCCAGCTGCTGATGTCGCTAAGGTTCTGGGTACCGTCGGGGAGGACATCAAAATGCAGACACGTTTATCCTGATGTGCGGGCCACTTGCCCAATGACGCGTCTGCAACAGACTCATGATGGCTTTTTTGGTGAAACAGACATTTTCGCCTAATTGTGCTTTTATCCCATACTTCTATGTATCTTTGCACAGGACAGTGCACTGCTGCTCAGGCCACCTGGCTGTTTGCAGGCAGGCAAATAAACCCTATCTATCTATCTATCTATCTATCTATCTATCTATCTATCTATCTATCTATCTATCTATCTATCTATCTATCTATCTATCTATCTATCTATCTATCTATCTATCTATCTATCTATCTATCTATCTATCTATCTATCTATCTATCTATCTATCTATCTATCTATCTATCTATCTATCTATCATCTATCTATCTATCTATCTATCATCTATCTAATATAAGTCATATAGTTCTATACGGGATATATTGCTTAACGACCTAGACATCAGTATGTCATGTGACACGATGACCTCGCATGATATCACAAACTTTAGTGACCTGATGATTTCATGTAAAATTACGCATACAGCATGTGCCCATCCTACTCTTAACGCATTTTGTACGTCTCCGAGTTTATCAGGTATAACCAAGACATTCCTAAATTTTTTTATGAAAGTTTATTAAAATGTTCGTTAAATTTACAAATACATGATGTCTTTTTAGAAAAGGCTAATTAAAAAGTTATGTTTGAAATGCGAACTAATTAAGCCATTCTGACTTTTTTTTATGGACGCCATGGCCACCTACTTGGCTCCAGGGCTAAGAGAACCTTAATGCAAGTTCCCTTTTCTAAAAAAAAATGATGAACCGACTCACTAAACAAAAGCACCCTGTATACACATGATGCGTGTATCGCAGTTTTCAGACGTGGATAAATTAAGCAATGACTAGAAAGGGGTATGTCATAAAGCAAAATATTTTCTTACTCGTTTTTTCAATACAATTCATGTTTTATTAAGAAAATACGTTATGGTATTTTCTTCACGCATATAGAAAATGTAATTGTTCGACTTTAAGTTTTTGCTTCAGAGTAAGCACTAAAATAGAGGAACATCCAGATTTGCTTTGAACGATGACTCATTGTTTTTATGGCGCTTGCAGTATATAATTTCATTGTTCTTATAATTTCTAACATGCTTCAAAGATCAGTCATAATGTGAAAAACAACTTACGCCTCATTGTTGCCTGTTCGGTTGTTGTTATCATGTTGTCCACGATGCTACGCGGCGTAGATTTACGAGTCGTTAATCGAACCAACTTGTTTGTGCTACGGAAAGACATGATTTGATTGTAATATTCAGTGAAACACCCAAGAAATGTCACTAAAACGTCGGTGTCGGCTTCGGCGCAACCGCACTAAATTTAGCGCGAAAACTGACGTCACGTTACCTTAACACCGATTCCTGCCACATTTAGTGGGAATTGGCGTCAATTTTTAATTTTCGTCAACGTCAATTTGACCGCTAAATCTACCGGAGAAACTGAATTTGTTCATAGGTGACGTGACACTAAGTAATGTGACGCCATTTTACACGCGAACTTTCGCGGGGAAACTGGATTGGAGGAGGAGGGTAGAGGAGGGGATGGAGCAGGAGGAGGAGGAGGGGAGGAGGAGAGGGTACGGAGAAGAAGGAGGGGCATACACTCCCTTCCGTGTCTTTCCCTTCTCGTCCTCAAGAGCTGCGCTCTAACTTCGCATTACAAAGATTTGTAAACGTCTTTCATTTTTTCTGTTTTGACTTCAAAAGCCTTATCAGTTCTTTGAATATTTTATTCAATAACGTGTGCAGTATATAATAAATTACGTTTTCTAGGTTAATTGCTGTCACTGACTGGTTGACAGGAGGGCAAGTGCTAAAGAAATATAAAAAAAGGATTTTCAAAAAAAAAAAAAAAAACGAAAAGAACAACAGCAAGAGAAGACGGAATGGCTGTTTTCCTGGCCGCTGAGCTGGGAAACGCAATACCATGCCGGACGTCGGGAGGTAAAGTTGACATCTCGGCTTCAGCACCACCGAGACCATTGCACCACCGAGACACAGCTGTGGCACGGCTGCCCGCGGTGGCCATCGAAGAGGCGCCCGACGTCTTATTCGTGACATTAAGAAGGTGTCGGCCGCAAGCAGGAAAGTTGACATGCCTGCGAGTACCGAAGGACACGCATCCGCGCACTACGGGTCTCAGCCACAGAGGCCGCTCCGCAAGGTAGCGCGGTGATGCAGCTCGGCCACGGCTCGCGGTTTCCGTAAACCTTTGTGGCCGACTTTGCTCAATGACCCATTTCAGGGATTTTCGATGAACCGTTCAGCCTGTTCATTTCTTGTTACATCAGATACGATATACTTATAACGAGTAGTGCATGTTGTACCGTCAATAAATGTCAGTACCGTCGGTACTGAGAATAAAGAAAAACATGCCATTAAATACATGTGGAACGTTTTCAATTACATTTGTAGCACATTTCGCGACTTTTCTTTAGAAGAGGATCCGTAAAAACTTATTTCGACACTGCAAAGTTCGATCTCTGTCTGTTAGGCTCAAAGACTTGAAACTGAAAATTGAATCTCTCGACCTTTTCTAAATTGTACCTCAAAGATGTTCAAAATGTTCAAACTTTTCAATCTGAAATAAAAAAAATAGAAATAAAGCATTTTTGAGCCTTCCGAGTTAGATTTGTCAAGAGGTTCGAACTCTTGAAACTAGAACTTGAAAAAACATTGATATTTACGAATTTTTTAAAAATTCTAATCTCATCGGGGTCAAAAAAATGGAGAACTTTTCGAACTCGGACATTAGCGAGGTTCAATATTTTCGAAACCTTTCGAACTCGAACTTCGGGAGGTACGCGGCATCCCTAAATAGCATGATGGAGTGAATGAGTCTTCGTGGACGTGGCTAAATGAGCAAGTTTGAGTCGGTCGACACACACGGTGTCTTTTTCTGTGGCTTTGCAGGGAGACAATCTCTGGGAAGACTCATAATAGGGCCGTACACGGGCTCTGCGGGGCTACAACGGAGCTCATCTTTGACCTCTGATCGGAGTTAAAAAATAATGAGGGGTAGTAACGTGCACCAATTAGTATAATCTACTTGCGCCTTTAGTGATGGCTTGAGGACTCTATAAACTATTCCTACCAAGCGGTTGGCTAAGGGATGATAGGACGTCGTGTAAGTAGAATCTGTGTGGAGGAGCTGCATAATGTAACGGAATAGTCACAACTCGAACCGTCGTTTTCGGTTAGTTCTTAAGGTTGATGGCACACCAATTCCCGGAATCCATTAGTTAATAAATACCCGTGCGATGGTGTTCGCTATAACATCGGAAACGGGAGGCTCGTGGCAAACGTGTAAATCTGAACGTGGATGTAAATATACATAGAGGTTTCGCCATTTGATGGAGGTAAGTTACTGACGATGTCGATAGTAACGTTATTAAACTATGATACGTGTAGTGAGAATGCTTGAAAAACTGTCGAGGTGTGTCGATTTTTTTTTCTTGCAGCCTAGTCATGCTTATGTTCATTTACCTTCTTGTATATTCCATACCAAAGCGAACGTTGCCTGACCAGGCTCTGTGGCGCACAAATCCTGGAATGGGGCAGCCCATGAAGTGAGCCAACAATTGAGCGGCGAAATGAAGAAAGGATGACGGGCCGAAGCACTCAGGTGTAGGCATCACAAATTATTGAATACTTGCAATGCTGAATTCTAAAAGTTTTTAGCTGCAGCCCCGGGTAAGGCACTGAGCAGACGAATGTTATCGTCTTTATGATGTGCAACAACCATAGAATTAAAATTGACAGAAAAATGGCAAAGAATTGCAACGGAAGGTGGATGTAATGCGAAAGAAAACGTCTTCTGCTGGTTAGTGGAGACATGACGAACTTTCGTGGTGCATTCAGCGATGAAAGACGAGTGTGGCGATTCTCCTGGAAAATACTTATCACTGGAAAATTCCAAGGAGCATGGGAGGTGCTTATGATCCGTGAGTATGGATAGTTTGGCCTTCTAGGAAGTGTTCAAGGTGGTTGAAGGTCGGGTAGAGTCTTCGCCGAACCTGCGGTAGCGCCACCCTGCAAGTTCCAGGTTTTCTAAAAAAAAAAAACTGCACAACTGTGTCAACAGCCGTATTTGGAGCGTCGACCATGACGTTGAGTTGGGCATGGGAAATAGGATGAGATATGAAAGAGGCATTGCTGGTGCTTGTTTGGACCGAAGAAATGCTTGGGCAATCTTCAAGGTTCACTGCACCATCCCAAAAGGGCTGTGGTCGCCCTCGAGGATATTCTACAGTTGTGTAAGCATCCCCGGCGCGGTTGAAAAAGAAAACGCCACTGCGAAGTAATTATAAAGCAAAACTGTTTTAGGGGATAGACGAGGGAAGTGCAGGACGACCTTGAACTTTTCGTCGAGATGTCGAAGTGCATGCTGGTCAAGGGGATGGGCGAGATAACTTATCTACGTCACACCGAAACTGCACGTGTCCTCATTGGCTATGAGGCCATAATCATCAAGGCACTGGAAAACAAGTCTGAGATGTTCAAGATATATTTCCTTGTCAGGGCTGTAAAATGAGGAGGTTGCTAGCATACCTCGAGGCCAAAATACATTCTAATATACTTGAAAAACCCAATTATAGTGTCGATGGATGTTTTAGAGATGTCGGGCGGGTGCACTAGTATCCGGTGAGGCGGCTTTAAGACATATATTTTGGAGGAGGTGTCGGAGCAATGGAGGAGGTATCGGAGCAATGAAAAGACGCTTTAAGGAGTGCGTAGTACGTACTACTATTGTGTAGTCCAAAGTACGGTCATTACCCCAAAATCGCCAACTTCCAGGAGTGTCTTTCGGAACCATATGTAGATGTGATGCCCAGGTACCTGACGGGAATCGTATAATTACCATTTCAAGCATATGGGCAAACTCTTGTGCTACGTTCAAGCGATCCTGGTGCAATCGACGTAGGCGAGCATGAATTGGCTCTCAAGTAGTTACCAATGTGGTAGGTCATGTCATGCTTTATCGGCTGTTGAATATTGTCAGGACGAGTTGAAGATGACAAGTCCTGATGTAACGCCTCATATTCAGACGCTTCAAGCCTGCGTCAGATCCTGAGTGTACTATTTCTTGAACCACGAACTGTACATTACAGGGCCTACTAGAGGCTTCTTCAGCTTGTGGACGCAGAAAGTGAAATCCTGAAAAAAATCGCAACACAGGATTTAGTGATCGACGTCCATGGGTAAGAATTACCGTGCGAAACCTTGCCGTATTCTGATGATCATACTTAAAACACGCTCACCATGGAGAGCAGTGAATGTTTTATTTGCAGCCTGTAGAGACGACCGTTTTTGTGGGGGTTGACGTGGGAGCGCAGATGCAGGCAAGACGCTGACTTCAGCACCGGTGTGTATTGGGAAACTCTGGGGCTGTCGCAGTCCGTGAAAAAATTAAGCGCCCGGCATCCATCCCAACACCACTTGCCGCTTCTAGTAGTGGTGATTGATGTTTTCCGCCGCAGCACAAGACGGTGCGCAGTTTCTGGCCCTGTTCCTGAACGTTTGGCGGTCTCAGCACTTTCTCGGTCGTGACGAGGGAGAACGGCTTTGATAATAGCAGCAGTCGTCATGTAACCACGAAGCCGATCGAGAACGCAACGAATGGTAGTTTCACTGTTTTCTAGTTCCGCCAACCCTCCAGAAAGAACATATCGGAGGTGCCGCAGCTCCATGGAAAAATCTTAAGACGCCGAAGAGTACTGGGGGTTCTTACGCCTGTCGGAGCACTGATACCGATGGTGTGGCGACGTTTATAACCAAGTCGGCCAGCTGTGCGAGTGCGGGCAACAGGAGGTCCGACGCCGTCGCTAACACTATGTGAACGTTAGTAAACGATTGCTGAAAAAATAGTTTTTTTAACTGTGATCGGTGGAATGAAGCAGAGCTCCTGCCAAGGACTTGTTGCATGCGTCGGAGCAATTGTTCCCTCTTCAAGCTGGAATAGGGGGCTGTCACTAAGAGGGCGAGAACCAAATATTGTACTTTGGTTACAATTTCGGTTTAAAGATCGGAGGATAGTAGAACATCCGACCCTGTGAGGTGTTCCGGTACGCGGGGAATCCACTTTTCACTTGGGCGAAGATCTGGGTGGACTAATGACATATCGGTTGACGCAGAGTTTGAATTTTAGCCATGAATGTTGGGATAAAGAAAAAAAGGCTTTGGCCGGGTCACCAATTGTAAGTCATTTAACGGTAACGAAATAGAT